AACGAAACATTGATGAAATTTGGCATGACGATTAAGATGACAATAATGTGTGAATACATTTAGGCTGCAAGAATATGACTCTACTTTCAAGCGATTGATCGCTGGTTTGAACCTTTCTCCGCTTACTTTGACTTTGACAATTGGGTAGTATTATATACCTACGCACAACAATTGTGGTTCATTTTCGCCACTGGGGTCCATTCTGAGTCATATCATCCAGAGTTTCGAACCACCGGTTTCGGTTGTTACGTGGACCCCAGGCGGGAAGTCTTAATTTCTCTACACGGTTAAGACCAACAGTTAAAGACTTCATAGGCTGATACACATAAGGCAGGTGGTGACTAGGCATGAGTAACATGTCTCAGTCGACGAAGTTTCACGACGACATCAACTGATATTTCTCTTCTGCCTAAAACTACGTTAATTATGTGGTGTCGCCACAATACATGGCCTATGATAAAACGATTACGGCGGTCAAGCAGCTGAAGCCTTATCATGTGTTTTAAGTCTCATGTATCCGTATAGTAAAATGGAGCGAAGTGCAGCGCAGAACAGCCCTTAATAGGCAGTCAGATATCATGGTGGCACCATAAATCGCCTAAGTTGGTGATGGTCAAGCAAGATTTCGTTGGTCACCGACCCACCAGTGTAAACCCGACTCCCCACCCAAATGCAGTGGTCAACGTACTCAATCACTTCACCAATACAGACCAATCCTGGGGCAACAGTCTGCAATTAGGTGATGAAAAACCCATTCCAAACATTCAGAAGACTCGACATCTTGTCAGTGTTTTCAACCAACAAGACTTTGTCGTCTGTATAATCTAGGTCCATTAAGGAGTTAGTTTCTTCTGACAAGATCAATCCTTCTGAAGTCAGAAGATGAAAGGAAGACCTCTGTAAGCACGTAAGTGACAAAGTCAAATGAGTGTAGAGTGAGTGGACATCGTTGGCGGACATCACTTTACGTGCACAACCCACGTGATAACTTACCTGAGGCTCATAAGCCTATGAGTATTCGAATGCAAAATGGAGTTATGTAGTTACCCGGTACCACTTTCAGTAGGAAACTTATAAGACCTCTCAATCGACGGGTTCGAATGCCACCTTTAGGTTGAGAAATACAGCTAGTAGCAAGCAGCGGTGATTGTGCCTGTATCCAGAAACCTGGAGGATAGTGAGTGTTTGGTCATTACACGCAAAAGTTTGAAACGTGCCTTGTTTTCTCAAGTTTACTGTTCCTGAGCATCACTCAACCGTCTAATCATTACAGAACCTAGGATCTTGAACACCATGTTCGTCAAACTGATAACTGTGTGGCTTTCGCGAGAGGATTTCTCCCCTTTAGTGAAGACTGACTATCAGTGATTAAAAGCAGTCAAAAGGGATCATATCTAATTTCCACATACCAGCTAACTCTTCAGTTAGTTTGACCAATAATCGGAGACTACTGTCCTTGAATATTTCTCTTCGTAGCCCATCCAACCTTGCTACTCTTTTAGGTCATTTAGAATCTCAACTTCAAAACGATTTGAGTGGCCAATCTCAGCTTTCCATTTGGGGTTTAACTGTTTAGCAAACAAACGAAGTGCACTTGGCCATCTTGTGCACATTCGTGCAGTAGACAATGAGCGACGCCTATTGTGTGAAGGCTGTCGATACTACCAGGCTGCCCAAACCTCGGTAGGTGAAGCGGAGATTGTACCCAAGATGCAGTGGTTGCATAGAAGGCAACGAAATAGTAACTGAAGGCCAGTTAAACCATCTCAAGATATTCGTTTCGTCGTTCTACCCGTCTCCTGTGCGATGAATCTCAGAACCATGCTTCTCTCCTATAGTCTGACTAACCACTGACCTTTATCCTCCAGTTTCTTTGATAAGTCTACCAATCTCCTCTTCCTTTTCCATCTCTTAAGCCTTTACTACCCATCACTGTTCTCGGCCATTAGATAGACTTCTTGTCAATCTACAATCCAGTTGCTTCCACCCCTCATTGTGCTATGACCCTGCAAGATGTTCATGTGCATCTATTAATTCAGGAGATGCTGTTGAGAACCAGTACACTGCATTGTAGTCCTTTCTGTCTTACGCTTGGTCATAGGTCCAACCCCACTCCACCTACCGAGGTTTGGGCAGCTAGGTAGTATAATTAGCCTTCGCACAATAGGTGTGGCCCACTGTGCAATGCATGAATGTGCACAAGGCTGGTGTCTTATTATACAGCTATGAGACATAACCATGGAAGATCTGAATAGATTACAGGTTTATGACAAGTGTCTTAGCAGCACTGCTCACATATAATGAACAATACTGAGGCTAGGCGGATGGCGCTAGACAAAGAATGCAAGTCAGTCGATAAGATTGTTAACTCCCACCAACTGAGATGGCATGAACATATGTTGCGCGTGCCGAGTCACTACCTACCTTGACGTGCAATGTCAACCAAATTAAAATTAGTTTGGAAGAAGGTGAAAGGTGACCAGACCACGAAGTATCACTAGCCTTTGACTGTTAGTGTGAGCTGTGCAGGGAGTTGTTAACTCCTTAACTGTGTTAGTGGAGAGGATAGAAATCAATGGTCAAAAACTTGTTAGCATGACTGAAAAGCGGCGAAAACCGGACAGACGTGTTCACTCATAGTCATCTTCTAAAGCCTGACCTTTTTCATCAACCGTTTCGGAAATTTCCCTCTCCCATAATCTTTTGGTTACTTTATTATCACTTTTCTATCCACTTGTTCTTAACGTGTAGCTGTGAAGTATGACAACTTGAACCCATACACCCCTGTGCAAAGCTCTACATTGGTTTGTCTATCTGTCATGTGTTCAAAACCTGAAGTGGTATGACATGAATGTTATTCCCTAATTAGAGCAAGTACTTGTGGTCACCGACCCCTCTTTGGTGCGTAGGAACTGTCTAACAATGATATTTTATCCTGTAGATCAAAATGTGTCACCTTCATGAGGTTACAAGCGTAAGCATCCTCTGAAGTAGCAAAACTGTCATTATCAGAGTGGTTGTCTGGATCAAGAACTAAGTTGTGCCCAATTAATGGGATGCGTTTATGTTGCGTATTGTCAGGCATTTGTTGCCATTATTGTAGTTGCATATGTGGTTCAGTGCGAAGTCATTGAGTATGTAAGATGACCTACGGTACATTACTCCAATTATTAATATGTTTTCCTCTGATTTTATCCCACAGTTGGCTATGTGCTTCTGATTCAGCCTCATATTTAGGTCATCGCGGGCATATAGTAGTGCATCTTCATCGTTGTGACTTAATTTCCTGTCAGCCCTAATGTAAAAACAATATCTGCCTTCCTTTTTAGCTTCATTTTTTACGGCAACCATGGCGAGTTTTACTGCACCAACTTAAACCTTAGTTCTGATGGGCATCATTATGAAGTTCTGTTGGTGTATTTCAAGGACCACCGAACTTAACCTTACAAGATATGAGAGCATTTTTTAATAAACCTCAGTATTCAGAAATCAGTTCAACGTCTTCCCTCCTTACTGTTTTTGAGCCTTGAGTACAGTAAAAGCAGTTCACTTCATTTCTCACTTAATACGCGTGGGGCTTTGACACTGATCTAAGTAGTCACGGTCCGAACACAGTCTCACCTAGCGATGTTTGGACAACTAGATTATCATTAACCTTTACACAATATGTGTGGCTCATTGTATGCTGCACGAATGTAAACAAGGTTGCAGAGTAGATTTTGCTATGTGTTGCTCAGAATAATGCTCCTCGTCTTTGTATTTCACAAATGTATTTTCAGCTTCTTTTGTGGATCGTGGTGATTATCTGTTCATTTTCGTAGTCTAGTGACGTTTTTAGATAAACATTCTGAACTATTTTTAAATGATTGATGCAATTTTCAGAATAGTTATTAAATAGATGTCAGAGATTCGTGTAATTTGTTGTACTGGTGAAGCGTAGCTGATGTTCAAATAAATAGTGCTGCTGGCGATCGGAGTAGTATAGTCCACCAATATTCGCTTCCTGTTGGAAAGCTTTGTATCTAAGTACACAAAAACGTCTGATTCATTGATTTGAGCACTTGATTTTCAACTAATGTGTCACTTTTTCAAGCTTTATTCCACCTGTTAACTGAATAGCCGGGAGGTCATCATCAACAATAGGACCAGGCATTACTGCATAGCGGTACGAGTTGTCACAGCGAATAGCCGGGCAGAATCGCAGACAGTGTGTTACTCAGTGCATGAACACATATCGGGTTGTATACGGAATTTAAGTATACTTTAGATTGATAATAATAAAGCTTTATTTCAGTGATCATTCAATTGAATACATTAGACATCAACTTAGTGAATGACTTAAACATCTTAGGATTTGACACGATAGTTCGCTGATTTAAGTTGTCAATCCTCGAAACAACCTTGTAGGACAAAATCAACAAGAGTGATAAGATTTTAGTAATAACTGAATGAGTTCATAGAGATGAAGAAAATTAAATACGTATTGACCAAATAAATGACAAAGTTTCGAGCAACATAATCTGTATACATCTGCACAACTAGTGTTAGTTTCCAACCTTATTGCTCAAGTTTTACATTTAACTGTTTTGACAATAATTTGAACTCTATTCTCGAAGTTTACAGGTCTCCACATAACCTAGACCAACAATACTGTCAAATCTTGACCTTATCATTACGGAGTATATTTAGTATTCTACATAACCGTCTTGGTAAATTTTTGTAAATTGGTTAACTTGCATTTGTTTTTTTACTAAAAACTACATTTAGTACAATTTATTCATTCGACTGTTTGGCAAACGCGTGAGTACTTCTTTGAAGGTACTATTCGCTCATTGTTTCTGGAAATTTTAAAGATACCGAGGCCACTTGAGGGGATAGTTTTTTTGAGATATAATTTTTACTAATTTCTTGTCTCAGTCCATATTTCTCATGATATTTGCATTTTTAGTACCTTTCTAAGAAGTGGAACCTAGTCACTACTGAGATTATCATCTGGTCAGATGTCAAAACGTTCTGGCTTAGGTGTGGTATGTTAAACTTATCTAGCCCCTCATTGATAATAAGATAACAAATGAAGAGTTATCCAAGCCTTTGAAGTTATCGAAACCATCTTTGGATAGTGATGAGGAGGACTACGATGATAAAGATTGTTTCCGGTTGCATGAAGCAGATATAGACGGTACCTGATTATTCTCTGTATAATATTTCATAAGGTCAGGAAGCTTCAACTTTAGAATATGATGACGAAGTTAAAATAACTCCGTTCAACATGAAAGAGGAACTTGAAGAAGACGGACATTTTGATTCCACTGGAAACTTTATTTTCAAAAAGGTTGGTTAAACCACTTTGTAAAGTTATTGTAATTATTATAGCAGGTTGATGCTCGTGATAATTGGTTAGAAGACATTAACTGGCTAGAAGTTAAGAAAAACCAAGATAAAAATGTTCTAAAGGATACATCAATAAGCGATGAACCAGATGGAAAGGTCCTAAGTAAAGAGGAAAAACTTGCCATGTACCAGGAACTCTTGTCTTATTTGAAACCTTCTGAGACAGTTTTACGCAGTATCAAACGTATGGGCGCTTGCTCAGACTCTAAGAAATCAGCATCGGCCAGCCAACGCTGGTTACAGAAAAGAAAACCTAAGACTGAAACTCAACAGTAAGTATTAACTACAAAACCCATTTCTGTAGTATTTTTGTAAACAACTTAAAAATACGTAAAACAGCATAATTGTCCATAATTTTAATTTCTTTAATTTAAATTTCCTCTTAATGCAAACTGGGCACACCGTGCCCACCTAGAAACGCCTTACATTCGGTCCAAGTTATCACGCTTGCATCACTGAGGAGAGAGAAAATAGTCGGCTAAGTAGCAAAAAAGTAAAGAGAAGTGTTACAAAAAAAAATCTTGAATTAAAGAGAAGACAACTAGAACAAGTTGCGACACTGAATAGGCATTTTCAATAATTGGGATGTTCAACACTTAGGAGTTTAAAGCGTAAATTCATCAACTTCAGTGTGATCAATTTTGGCCCGTTTCACCTCAAGTCTAACATCTATCTACCTATCTATGACGTCTATTGGGTGTTAACTTCTTCATATAATTTAGATTAGTTTTCTGTCAGGATCTGGCGACTAAGACTTTTCCTATGTCATTTCTAGTCCTATTAGTACAGCACACTGAAGTAAAAGATGGTTAAGCATGTGTAATAAATGTACTAGTCTCTTCACTTGACAGGAATTTAAGGTAGCAACTAATGCTTTTGTTAGTTGGTGCTTTTTTTACACCGGGGTAAAAAAAAAACCCTTTTGCTTGGGCCGCAGGATGAAACTGTATATTGTTCTGGCTTTGAAAAGCCTAAACGAGTCTTTGGCTCTCCTGAAAACCAATCTGTAACTATCTATATAATTAACCGGTCCATCACTCTGAATTGTTTGCTTTAATGCTGCTCTTTTCTGATTTAATTCTGTTGAATGTTGTTAACTGTGCGAAATGATGTTAGATTTTCGTACGCTAGTGGTTATATATTGCGAACTAATATAATACGCAAGCTTAGCTGACAGCTAACTTAGTACGCAAGACCCACTGACTGCAACCCCGGGACGAATAGAGAGAAGACCGAAGCTGGCAGGTGCTAGAGTTTATTACTCCGAGAATATAATAATAATCAATACCAAAACACGTGAATAAGTACACACATGAAAATGACCTTGTCCTCAATTTGAGGCATTTGCATAGTAAGAGTAGAGATTAACCAATTAGCGATTTACATTACAATTATTATTAGTAGTAGTAGTCCCTTGGGTTCCTAATGGAACATAGGGCTTCATTAGCACGTCTCCAGCGAACTCTGTTCTCTGAAATCTTTTCAACCTGGCTCCACGACAGCCCAGAAGCTCTCATTTCCTCCTCGCACTATCTCCTCCATGTCACCCTCGAACGTCCAACTCGTCGCTTCCCATCGGGGTTCCACTCGAGTGCCTGGCCTGACGCGTGATGTCCCCAGTCGGTCTTCTCAGTGTATGCCCAATCCATCTCCACTTCCTCCTGCATATTTGTTGGGTGGTAGGTTCTTGGTTGGTTCGTCGCCAGCCAGAGCTCCTTGTTGCTTATTCTTATTATTCTGGCCATCTGATCTTCATTAGCGAGCGTAAGCAGTTGTTGATGAATGCCTGTAGTTTGTTGGAAATGCCTTTCGTAACGCTCCAAGTCTCTGAACCATACAGAAGCACTAACTTGACGTTGGTGTTGAAAATCCGGTTCTTGTTCCACATGCTGAGTGCAGACGATCTCCACACTGGTTTCAGGCTAATGAACACCTGTCTTGCTGTCTTTCCGATTCTGGCTTTGACATCCTCATCTCTGCCACCTGCAGTTGAAATAGTGCTGCCTAGATAGATGCAGAAGGCTACTTCCTTTAAGTTTCTCCCGTTGATAGTGATTAGAGTTTGTCGTTGGTTGGGTATCTTCATCACTTCTGTTTTCTCTATATTCACTAGAAGTCCCGTCTTCGCTGCCTCGCCTCTTCTGTCAACTTGTTAGCTTTCGCCTATAGATCTTCAAGTTTGTGCCACAAGACATTAGACACAAGTCATCGGTGAAATCCAAATCTTCTAGGTTGTTTTCCGCAGTCCAGCGTATCCCCCTCTTCTCGCTCCCCACTGTTTGTTGCATGATCCAGTCGACCACAATCAGGAATATCATGGGGATAGTAGGCAACCTTGTTTCACTCCTGTCTCCACTTCACTTCAAAAGCATCACTGAGCTGAACTTCCCATTATGAATTACTTGGTATGTGGTGTCTTCATATAGTTGTTGAGTGAGGCGGATAAAGGTTTGTGGTATTCCCTAGTATTGAAGCAGTTTCCAAATTACTACTCGGTCGACTCTGTCAAAGGCCTTCTCAAAGTCGATGAAGTTGAGGTAAGGTAGGGAGTTGACTGCCATTCTATACTCTGTTCTATGATGATGGGATGCGTTGAAATTTGGTCCACACATGATTTGTACTTCTTGAATCCAGCCAGCCAACGTGTTCCGGTCGTAGTTTTGAATCCAGTGCATCCTTTAGTCTCTCCAGGATGATGCAGCCTAATATTTTGCTTGTTCCGGGTTGACAGGAGAGTGATTCCGTGCCAGTTCTTGCAAAGACTTAGGTCTCCCTTCTTCGCCAGTTTGACAAGGTAACCCTTCTTCCAACCGACAGACAGGTACCTTCCCTTCCTTCCCTCCAGACCTTCTGCAATAGTGGTGTGGTGTGAGCATGTCTTCTGTTGTCTCTGAGTCTGTTTTCAGTGCTTCTGGCGGGATCCCATCTGGTCCTGCTGTTTTCCCGCATTTCAGCAGCTTTATGACGTTCAGTACTTCCACATTTGTTGGAGGATTTATGTGTTCACTTGTAGCTCAGCGGCTGTAGGTGGTATTTCTGGACGAAGTGCAGGTGGTGATGGTGGTGGTCTATTCAAGAGCTTCTTGAAGTGGTCAGCCCATTGTTTCCTTTGTTTCTCTTTCGTAATTAAATTTCCGTCATCATCTTCTATTGGTTTCATCTGCGTTGATCTCTTCCCTCCCAGATAGTAACCTGGTTATTTGATACAATATTGTCAGGTCTCTGTCTCTCTTACCAGCAACCTGCAACCTGTTCTGCTTCACTTGCCAGTGTGTTGTGGAAGTGTCTTTTGTCTTTCCGTGCACTCTTCTTCACTTCTTTGTCCAGTGTAGTGTTCTATACATTGTACTCAGTTCCTCTTGTCGTTGAGCATCCTTGTACTGGTTTACCTTCTGCTTCACCATCACTATCCTCCTCTCCCTACTGTATCAGCTTCCATGTATCCATTGAGATCCATTCCCTGTCTTGTCTGTTTCTTCTTGCTTCCTAATACGGCTGTGCAGGTTTCATTCCACATCTCTTTCAAAGACTTCCACTGTTCTTCCACACCGGTTTCTTCAGGGATGTTCCTCGATATCTCCTGTTTTGTCTTGATGGCTGCCGTGAAGATTTCCTTTGTAGTTTCGTCCTTCAGTTTCTGAGTGTCGTACTTGAACTGTGGTCTATTACCAGCTTCCTTGAAGGCTTTTAACTTGATTTGGAAGGTTCCTTGCACTAGATGGTGAGTGGTGTGGACCTACATCTGCTCCTCTTCTTGACCTTGTGTCAAGTAGGCTGGCTGTGTCTCCACTTTCTTGAGATTGAGTCGAAGTCGATCTCATTTTTAGTATGTCCTGGTGTCTGGTGAAATCGAATCCATGTTGCTCGCTTTGTGGATATCCTTGTGTTTGAACACACTGCCTGGCCTCCAATCACCAAATAATTGAATGCACAGAATTCTGCAAACAATTCTCCATTCTCGTTCATCACCTCATCGAGCGCTTCTCGACTCATGGTTACTTCTCTTCCTGTGTTGTCTGCTCCCAGTTTGGCATTCATGTCACCCCAACCATTAGAATTTTGATGTCGCCAACTGAGGTCTTGTCCAGTGTTGATTGGAGTTGTCTGTAGAATTCCTCCTTTTTCTCTTGCTCTGCATTGTTCGTAGGTGCGTAACATTGTATGATTGTGACCTTCCTTCCTTCCTTTTGGGTTAAACCTTGCTGTCATGATCTAGCAGGAGGAGATTGGTTCCCACTTCATGAGAGTGAGAGCCTTCGATGCTGTTGGGGACATCATGATAGCCACTCCGAAAATCAGTGTGCTCGTGGTTGTCGTCTGGGTGACAATATTGGAGTAGATTATTGATTCTCCAGTTGACAGGTTTTTACAGTCCATTTCCGTTCCATCTGCTTCCGCAAATTCCAAGAACTTCAATGTGATACCTCTTCATCTCATTTGCAATCTGGGCAGCCTTGCTGGGTTCAAACATGGTGCGGACATTCCATGTCCCCACGTTTACTTTCGCTTTCATCGAGGGAGAGAAGACACATCGGCCTGGCCAATTGGCTTCCCGAAGGCTTTCACCAACTGGCGTCATTTCGCCTCTCTGATTCCGGCGAGGAATAATTTTGTTATTATTTTTTATATATCGTTTGTGCTTTGAAGTTTGTTTAGCGGTTAGATTTGTTTTGAGGGGTAAGGTTGCTAGCCCTATGCTCAAGCTTTCCTCTTTACCCGGGCTTAGGACCGGCTAGTAACTAGTGGACTAGTTAATCAGGCGAGGGGTTAGCATTTTTCATTTTTGCGTCGAAAGTATTCAAATCAGAAACTGGAAATCAACTTATCAGAACTTCTGTCTTTGGAAATGGTTTACCTCACTGTTTCACTGTGTCGCATACTGAAGTTGTACATCATTGATTCATTGATGAAACCTTTAATCAATAGTTTATGGTTATATGACATAAGTATTTTCGTATGAACTTACGAGCATATGATTTTCCTAATTATTTTACAACATTTTCAGTGGTAATCCAGAAGGATTGATCCGTGTTACTGAGTTAGCTGATCAACTCGTTCAGGCGGGTGATTTCGATGTCTACCAGAAAACATATGAAGAGATCAATAAATTAATCGAATGCACGAAGCAATTCGAAGTAGACGATGAACTTGATGTCCTTGGTCAAGCATTGGATGAAAAGCAAAGTAATGGTGAAGGTTTGTTTTACTCCGAATTAGTTTCTATTTCGTTTTTCTTTTGATGAAATCGACCACTCACAGACTAACGGTACTACCATTGAAAATTCAGATTTGATGTTTGAAATACAACATAATTGTGGCTGGGAAATATGAAAATCCTTTCTGTCGATCAAGTAAACTAAATTTATGTAAAAATATACACTTGTGTAGTATTGGTCGATAGTGGATGGCAGTAAAATCTAGGCTGCGCATTCCTTCCGATTTAGGGCTTGTCAGTCAAATGTAACTGCCTCCCAGTGAGTGATTTTGCACCCACTACGACTTGAACCCCGGACCAATCGCCTCAAACGCCAGTGTGTTGTTATTCACTAGGCCACCGAGTCACGATAGCCACTTCTTGTACGATGGGTATAGTTTTTATGTTGTTGCTTATGTTATCTCGTCGTTGATTGGACATAAAACCATACATTGTAGTGCATGTTTCGGTATAGGTGGATTTTCGTTGCTTTTTGGTTTATATTCTCTTCAGAACTCTCAAATTATGTGATTGAAAAACCCTTCGTAGTTACGATCGAACGTCGTAGCAATTGTATTCCATGGTATCAGCGACATACATAGTCTGTTCTTACCACGAGTGTGAGGTGAAGCTTTCAAGGTATCATTCAGTAGAAGTTTGCTCAGCAGCTCCACGACACATTAATTACGATCTAACCATCAGAATCTCAATCTTTTAGAGACATTTGTAACCGAGAGATTTCGATATGTGGTTAAGCAGCTTCTTCGCACACCCCTGGTTTTTAATGTTTTTCAAACAATATTGATTTGTCAGGCATACTACGCGTGTAGTAGACTAGTTAAACATATTTTTGGTCTTGTATTTACTAGATGGAGTAAAGTCAACTGCAGAGCATGACAATAACAGTGAAAATGCACCAATCATGTGGCATTTAAAACGTTCAGATAAACCAAATACAGAAATTGAAGGACCATACACGTCTGAGCAACTAAAAACATGGCTCAAAGATGGATCATTCAAAGATAGTAACAACAACATTTTAATACGAGAATCAACAAAATCTGAAGGACAATTTTATAACATCACACGTATTGACTTTGATTTGTATGAATGAATGATCGACTGGATTTTCTGATTTTGTTTTTCTTACTCTTCTATCATACCTTTTGTAAATAAAGATTTGTGAATAATAGGCTTGACGTTTTACGGAATTAACTATTTCTTATTTTCTTGGTAAGCTAGATGTATTTTCCGAAAACTCGAAGTACTAACCTGCACGTTTGAACATGAACTTGACAATCACACATTGACTTCTTACTTTTCCTGCAATTTACTCACTATTTGTTTTAGCACTTTTCTGCTGATGTTTTTACCTATCGTTCTGTAGTTGCCTTCCTAAACTTATCATTCGTTCCGAGACCTGACTCAGTTATTTTAAAGTCATGAACCCCATCTGAGCTTCTCTCTCTCTGTCTATATATAAATATATATATGGGCGTGATGAAGATCCTCATTCATTGAATCAGGTCATCTTAAAACATTAGCTTCGGTGGCTTGGATGTGTGCTACGAAGTTCCTACCAGTTGTCCCCGATCCCCTCACTGTTCCTTTGCCCTGGGACTCATTCAAACGAAGTAAACAAAGAGGAGCTTATTGTGTAAAGTAGTTCCTTAAGATAGGGTTTCTGGGTTAGTATTTGTTGGTTGCTCACGACTCCTTGCGTGCGGCCCTGGTAGATGATGCAACTAATCGTCCTGAAACAATAAGATATTGGTTTTCAATCACAACATTTTTGAGAAAACGAAGTTTATCATGTAGCATATAAGGACTGTAGATAGTGCGGATCCTGTGGCGGAAGGAGCGAATCCAATTTTGTCTATCCACAGAAACCCACATGAAACCAACAACTTACGAATTTCCATAGTTCGGTGACTTTAAACACCGGATCCAAAACTATGGTGGGAATATGTAGATGTAACACATAATGTTTTCAAATTTTAACATATTCAGAGTTTTTTTCACATACATTAACTCGACAGTCGATGCATTCCAATCATCTTATCCATTCAAAGATAGATATATATCCAACTACCTATCAAAGGACGAGTATACTGTGCTGCACTCTCTTCTATCCTCTTATATAGCTATGAGAAATGACGTTAAAAGTAGATATTAGGTGGTTACGGGTTTTCGTTCACAGGCACTGCTGGCGTATAATGGAATCACAGTGAAAGCAATTTTGAGGTCAGGCGAAGGGTACCAGGCAAGTCGGTTGCTGACGTCGTGAACCTTCATCGACTGAGATGGCTTGGACATGTGCTGCTCATGCCATGCCACCGACGTTCAATGCTAGTAGAAGTTGGAGTAGGTTGCAAGAGGACTGACAGTGGCTTGACTAATAGGTGGAAGACCCTGACTGTTAGTTTGAGCCGTATAAGGAAGTGTAGACTATATGGCTTAGGTCCCCTGAAGGACAGAAATCGGTGGTTGAGAACTCGGTAACATGGCTGAAAATCGGACACAACGCCGCAGATGTATTATCTACTTGATGTCTCTGAGAGCTTGAATGTTTTGACCATCCTTCATTTTAAAATTCCTCCTCATCCCATACACCCCTGTCTAATTTGATATCAGTATTTCTTGGCTACTTGTTCTCTGTACACTATCGTGAAGTGTGGAAACTTGAGCCGGTGTACTTGTGTGCAAGGTTCTTTGTTGGTTTTGTATGTGTCTATCCGTATACCAATAGAGATCGACCAATTCAATCCAGCATAACTATGAGGTATTACAAGTAACAACAAATGTATATTATTCGCTGTTCTTCTGAATGAGTATTTGCTTCTACACCACACAAAGAGTAGGCCTGAGTTGTCACCATATAACATTTTTTGATTACTAAACCTTCGCTACATAGAAAATAACGACACTTAGATTGCTTGTTTCAACTTAAAAGAACTTCGATTATTGAAGCGACTGCACCTTAGCATTCTCCTCTTTATAAACTGGTGATTTCCTGATCAGTGACAATAGTGCACTCTGTTACAGACCACAGAAATGTTCATCAGCTAGAAGATATCGTGCCCACCATTCTTTGGAATAACACCAATACTAAGTGTAATACAAATATACAAGCAAGATAGCGGTACTAAGGCCAGCAATCGAGCACTTAATCCAATGAAATATCATTGATACAGTCAAACTATTCCTAGTGCAGAGAGTCATATCCAGGAAAAAGAACATTTCTGTAATACGCCTCCCCAACCATCTGCTGTACAGATATGATTATAAGTAGTAAATTCTGCCCAAAACCCTATCCACTAAGTAATACTGAAACATGCATGGTGTGTTATATCAAATAAGCAATTTATTTTGTAGAAATTGTTACCTATTATTATTTTTCATAGATATCTTGTCTATCTATTTGATTTTAGCTGATTACCCCTTCCCCCCACTTATTGATATTGACTAAACTGTTTTCGTTTACATGGAATCTACACTCACTGCTAATTCAGTTTTAATGAGTTCCAAAGAGCTTATTATTCTATAAGATAGTATTAAGATCCAATGGTTTTTTCTAAGCTCCCGGTGAAGAGTACTTGTAGCATTTGCATCAAACTAGACATGGTACTTCAAGATAATAAAAAAAACACCTATTTAGCTATATAGTTCTTCTTCCTTAAATCAAATAACTTAATAATCAATAAAGCACTGATTTGTTATGAACAGAATCAATAAAACTGATCACGCGATTTCACTTCACAGGAGATATGCCTACGCACCGTAACTACGTAGACTTTACCAACAGACATTGCCTGAAATCGATTCCGACTTTTCGAACATGAACTGCCGAATGAACTGAACAGAAGATGAGATGAATCCAATTAATTTTGTGTGCTCTAAATCTTCCACATACGACGTGGTTGGACAAATTGACTAGTAAGTCAGAAAACCTGAATCTGCGACTGAAACAAATTAAAGATAAACTAATTCTTAAGATCTACCCTCCTGGATTTAGGAAGACTTTTGTAAAGACTTATAATAGAAGCAGCGATGATATTAGTAACTGCAGTATGCCTAAAATGAAATTTAAATTCTTTATAATGCTGCTATATAAGGGAAGTACACGGGAAGTTTCACGTAGGATTCTTAACAATGCTGGGATTATGGTGGCATTTAAACCCACAAACTCACTCAGAGAAATTTTGTAGGCTAAAAGATCCAGTAGAGCCAATTAGAAAAAAACCACATCTACCAAGTACCATGTGATCATGAGGCCAGAGCAACCGATCTGGGTGAATCAGAACAGGAGAACGCAAAAATTTAGCGAAACATACAATGGTAGACCCTAGTAAGAATAAGTAATTTAGAGAAAAACTCGGCCTTCCCTCTTTATACACTCACGCATAGTGACACTGTAGAGTGATAACTCTGAGATTTAACATAGCTAGATTGAGGCAGAGGGTGATAACGGAATCTTTCTTCGCTGAATCAACACCAAGCACATGTAACAAGAGTGATTCATTACATAATGTAAATATCTGGATGATTTTACTAGTATGAAAGCAAAAAGGAGTAGTAAATTCCGCTTGCAACTTAACTATATGAAATGGAAAAACCTAATCCCAAAGTAAGTAGATTTTCCATTTCAGTCTGTTCATTAGAAATGTCACATGATGAAACAGTATCATTTACTGGATAACGTTTGAGACATCATTTATTGTCCATGTTCATATCATGCAACTCCACAACTTTAAGATATAGTTGTTATCCTCTCTCCTTCTTCGTGACATGGGCAGTAGGATTTTCCATGTATCTGGGACAGATGCAGACTCATTTCGACCACATGTATTTCGGGGTTAACTTGATAAATGAAGATTTAGTCATATATCTCTCCCTCCACCCAACTAAGTTAGTTTTTAATAATATCGCTCTATCCCACCCTATTGTGTGTAAATGCGTGCGTAACTACGACTGAGCGCTTTCCTAAATTTACTAGCTCATTAGGTATTTTCTAATCTTGATTAAGCTAATTTTTTGCGGTGTTATTCTAATCGACCCTGGTCGACTGCTTTGACCTATGTACTTGACCTTAGTTCAATACGTCATCATCATCAATATCAACATAGGACCAGGCATTAATGCGTAACGGTGCGAGTTGCCACAGCTCATATCAGTACATCAAGTAAAAAGGCAGTGAAGTGCAAGATGAAGATAAGGAAATTCAGTCAAAAGAAATGTAAAGTACTCAGAGGGGGAGGGAGAGGAAAAATGAGAAAATGGTGAGATCCGGTATACCGTTAAGATGACATCGGTTCTGAGCCATATCACCCAGGGTCTCCAACCACTGGTTCCTCTTGTCCCGTGGACCCCAACCACCTAGTCTGCATCGTCCTACATGGCTTAAACCAACAGTTAGAGACCTCATACATTGGTGCCATGTTTTAGTCTGTCCACCTCGGGCCTTTTTCCAGCCTGGACCCACCTCAGCCAACATTGTGTGACAAGGCGATCGGTGACTAGGCATACGTAGTACATGTCCTAACTATCTCGATCAATGAAGGTTCATAACCTCGTCAACTGATTTACCTCTTCTCCCTAAAACTCTATACCTGACTTCTGCATTACTCACGTGGTGACACCACGGAATACGGCTTATACTACAAAGGCAGTGGTGGTCAAACACCTGGAGCTAGCCTTCTCATGTCTTCCACCTTCAGTGGCCATGTTTCACAGCCACACAGTAGAACAGAGCGGACTGCTGTGCAGTACACGCGACCCTTGACAGACAATCGGATATCACAGCGGCCCCACAGGTGGCGTAAGTAGGCGTAAGCCAGCCGAACAGAGAATAATATACATTTGTTGTTACTTGTAATACCTCATAGTTATGCTGGATTGAATTGGTCGATCTCTATTGGTATACGGATAGACACATACAAAACCAACAAAGAACCTTGCACACAAGTACACCGGCTCAAGTTTCCACACTTCACGATAGTGTACAGAGAACAAGTAGCCAAGAAATACTGATATCAAATTAGACAGGGGTGTATGGGATGAGGAGGAATTTTAAAATGAAGGATGGTCAAAACATTCAAGCTCTCAGAGACATCA